AGGTTGGACGTTGGGCACATAGGCCTGATCATACGATTTACATTCTGTGTGCGAATTTTGACTGGACACGAATCACAGGATGATTTCTCGAATCCTCATTGACAAGAAAAAATAATGACTGCAGGCTGTAGGATAGTAGTGGAGTAAAAGTACCTATACTGCACAAAAAATGTACCCAAATGGAAAATTTGTGTACTTGCGGGAGTTCATTGATATTTTCCCGCACGTGAATTCTAACCAATCAATAAACAAGTTAGGAAATATGTTCAACAACATCTGGCCAATGAGAGATGTGGATTTTGTCAGATAAGTGCATTTTGGTTTGTTTTAACTGGTTCGGACCAAAGCCAGCAGTGTGGTGTGAAAACGACCCAAAGATGGCAGAAAATGTTACAATGTATCATTTATTGCCCTTGATCCAGACCAAATGAAGTGAACTACAGATGTGAAAGCACCGTAAATTTCTATTTTTAATAATGACAATAGTTTGAGTATTTGTAATTTGTTACTTTACACCACTGGAAATCTGTTGTTTCTGCATTAGTATATCTCATTTTATGTTTCTTTTGCTAGAGGTATCAGAATGCTGTGGTCTAGTATGTGGAGGAGTGTTGTGTCAGGGGTATTACACTTAAAGTAAACCATTTCAGTGAACTTTGTCTCTCCACAAACCACAGAATTTGGAATGATAGTAAGTGTAACCATGGCCTCTATATTCTGAAAACAGTACCAAAGTTTTAATGAGAAAAAACTGTGCACATTTATTTTTGTTCTATAGGGAAGTAGTAAAAACTATGCCTATTGCCTATTGATGCCAGGTTCTTTAGGTTTTAATTTAGGTGATTGACCCCTCTGTGTATTTAAAATTGTAGTGTAATGCAATGTAGCGGAAACTTCCTGAAAACATTTACTTTTTATGACTGTTTTTGCTGTCCAGTTGTGGTATAGTCAAATGTATAAGCCAGAAGTGATATGTTTAATTATATATGCAACACTAACACTAAAACTAACTAAACACAATAAAAACCATGACCTTAGCAACACCAAGGCCCATACCGTGTTAGTTTAGATAAATGCACAAATTTAAAAATGCAACAAAAACATTTGTTTTATAATAAGAAGTGTAACAAATTGGTCCTTAAAGTGCCTTTGAGATAAGCCTGACAGCTTGTCCAGGTATACAAGACCAATTCTAATTAAACCAGGGTCATAAACACAATAATTATTAGTGTGCAGAATTAAACCAATAATAACTAAAAATTACAAGTACTTAAATTACACTGATTTGTGTTGCTAGACTTACACTCCCTCTTAGGTTCTGAATCACTTTTGCAAAAACTCTGTAGGTTTTGAAATACTTAATACTACAACTGTGTATTGTCTCTGAGTTTTAGGAGGGAAACCTGCCTTATTGAAATGTTTATTGACCAGCATAGGAATGTGATGCGTCACGTGAAGTTTACTTGTCCCAGGAGGAGATGACCTCATGTGTTTTCCCATATGGTTTAGTGGCTTAATGGTGTTTCCCTAAAGACCTAGGTCCTCTTACATGGGTTTAGTTTTCCGTTGGGTTTTCATTTGTGTGGACCATTGCAGAAAAGTGTATATCATGAATCATTTTCCTCAAAGCAGAGGGAGTTCATTTCCAGTTAGAGAACTCACAGGGCCTCCATTTGTTTATATTCGTGGGGAGGAACCTCTTCCTCTACTATTCCATTGTTTCTCAGCGAGTAGCTCCTCAGCTTCACATGAGGCTTTATAACTTGTTTGACAATGGAACGAAATAATGTTTTGTCAGTTGACATGGTGTAGTGTTTATTAAAGCAGCAATGGGATAGTTGTTCTGTATTTTAATTCCTTGTAGTATAAGTGGAACTTTTCAGTGCATGCAAAAACATTAGTATAGTGTAGGGACTTATTTTACAGTCAATACAGCATCATTTAGTCATGGCAATGACAGATATAAGTCCTCCACAGTGGCCAGGGGCACCATTCTTCTTGCAAAGGAGTGGCCAGGTCACTACACGATTCTGGTGGAAGAAATGTTTCTTCACTAGCTCCTCCGAAACACCCCAATTTGGCTCAATAATATTTAGATCTGGTGACTGCAGGCTATGAAATATGTTCAACATCACTTTCATGTTCAATAAACCGCTTTGTCTTCCCAGGTGTATTATCATCCTGATACATGACATCCTCTTCAGGATACAATGTTTTAACCATTGTATGCACATGATGCTACAAAATGTTTTGTTAGTCCTTAATAGTGACGAGCCCATCTAGCACAGGTATTGGGCCTAGGGAATGCCATAATGTTGCAGCCCAAATCATCACTGATACACCCCATGCTTCAGTCTGGGCATAAAACAATCTGGGTGGTACAATACATTTCTTTGGGGCTTTTCCCTATCGTAACTCTTCCGGATGTGAAAAAGACAGTGAAGATAGACTCATCAGAGAACAATACAAGATTTGGCACCGTTGAAACTAACAGTTTGTCATTGTCATGAGTGATTACAGGTTTGGCTATAGCAGCCCATTCATGTATATTGACCTTGTGAAGCTCCAAACTACAAGTTTTGGTGGAAACAGGAGAGTTGAGTTGCACATTTCATTCTGCAGTGAGTTGGCAGCTGTGGTTTTGTTTTTTGGATACAATCTGTGTTAGCATCCCTTTCAGATAGCGTCCACTTGTGTCCCCAGTTATTCCTGTGGGATTTGGTTTGTCCCTCTAGGTGGTATGCTGAAATGACCCTGAATACCTGAAAAAATGGGCTGTTACTCTACTAATTAAACCTTCACATTCTGCTCTTACTGGTGGAATGTGCAGTCAATGAATTTTGAATTTTCAGGCAAACGTCCAACACTAAATTGGTCAGTGTTTCCATTTAATTGTCCAACCCCTGTAGTTCTGATCCGTTTTTACCAATTCCAAACTGCATCAGTCAACACACTTTATGCATATAATCTTCACATTTACACGCATGCTGTTTTTTTCTTTTTTCAGAATTTAGTGCATAGTTTTAGTGCATAGTTTACTTAAATGAAAAATAGCTCATCATTTACTCTCCTTCATGTGGTTTTAATATTTTAAGTTTCATTCTTTAAAGTAACTTCAACACAAATATGTTTTAAACAAGTGAAAGGCTGAGTTAAGCCTTAATTTTCAGGTGAAACATACCATTAATGTGTCTTTTTGTGTGTTTACTTGACTACATGTATTTTCCAGAGTGCAGTTGCTTCTCTTTACATTTTTAAACTCCCTGTTGTGTTCGGGTCAAATCTGACCGATTTACAACTTAAAACACCAATAAATATTGTGTTTTACATAAGACCTCAAGACTTTATTATATCCTCCACATTATGCATTTGAACATATAAAAGTGATAATCACTTCTTTCATTGAATTTTGAGTGTTTTAATCAACCTTGTTACACCTGTGGTGTTCCCGGTCAAAAGTGTGGGTATTCAGACTATATTCATCCATCAGACAGAAAACATCCCCATACACACTACCCCAACTCACTCGCTCACTCACTCACCCACCCACTCACTCACTCACCCACCCACACACTCACCCACCCACTCACCCACCCACTCACTCACCCACCCACTCACCCACTCACTCACTCACTCACTCACTCACTCACTCACTCACTCACTCACTCACTCACTCACTCACTCACTCACTCACCCACCCACTCACTCACTCACTCACTCACTCACTCACTCACTCACTCACTCACTCACTCACTCACTCACTCACTCACTCACTCACTCACTCACTCACATTTCAGACTGAACAATGTCTTTTGCAGGTACACTTCTCTTTTCCTCACTTATGTGTTAATCCTCCAGCCTGATCTTACAAAGAAGCGTAACTATTTTACGTTTTGTCAGTTTGGTGGCTAATTAGTACAAGTCGTATGAAAGTATACGATTTTTAAAAGGAGGTATGGCATTCAAATAAGCAGATCATACTAAATTGTACTGTATAAATAAGATCGTACGAATTCATATGGATTAGCCACTAAATCAATAAGTTATGAGTTGCCATGATATAGCGTTGGATCCTCTATTATGAATCAACTTCTTGATAAAACAATGTATCATATCTTTACACAGACTAGACAAGTGTCTGTTATGTGAACCCATTTGTTTGTGTTGCTTTTTTTCTTTCTTTGTTTGTTTCTTTCGTTCTGCCAATCTTCCTTCAACCTATCTCTGGGTCTAGCAGGAGCACTTGTAGCTTAGCTTAGCATCAATTATTTTATTGGATTAGACCATTAGCATCTCGTTCAAAAATGACCAAAGTATAACTAGTGTTAGTTCATTTTCCATGCTCACCGTCTATACCCTCAGTCACTATTCCTTATATTAGTACACTAATAACATTCCAATTGAAGCACTGAATTAAAATTCGAGCACTCAGTACACAGGAAAGGACACTATTTTGTTTGTGCTTTGCTGGCTGATAAAACATTCAGATGGTCTTTGGTCAGACCCTGTGATAGTTTTTTTACTGAGCTGTCTATTAGTAACAAAACAAATTTTTTTGATTTCTGTCATCAATCGTTAATCGTTTTTTTCTAAACATTTTCAGTGCCTATTTGTATTTTCACTGCAGTTATTTTATATCTAATTCTATAAATTCATTTTAAACACTACTTTGAGACATTGTTCACAGCTAAAGAATGTTAAATGAAAATTTGGTGTTAAAAATAGGTTTTGTGCTAATAGAAAAGCAGTTAAAACAAACAGGTCAATTTTGACCTGGAACACTAAAGTAAAGGGTAAGGATGTGAACACGACACGAAGGTTAAAGACAATCAGTGCATATTACAATGCATTAATTATGCAAAATTTAACCAATTTTAATTGAACCAATGCCAATTTAGAAGATCATGAGATGCTCGTGTGCAAGTGAGATGAACATTGCCATGCAGATTACATTTATTGTTAAATTGCATATTTTGCAGTTTAATAATCACTCTATACCATATTGCAGTAACAGATTTATTTAGATTCTGCCCAATCTACATTCTTTATAAACAGTTGTCTTTGATTTCTCCAACAATGTTTCTATTTAACATATAATCACTTGAGGTGGAAAAAGCCCTTAGTTGTGCCTGCATGCAAATGTTTCATCTGCACGAGAGAAAGAGAAAAAAGCTTGTTTTGTTCATTGTGAGCTGGAAGGGGTGAAAGGGTAGCCAGAAATTAACTGAAAGTGGAGGAAATAGTTGGTTATATAACATGGCATTTATATAAATAAAACAACAATTACAGCGATAACACGGTGGGGGATTTAACAGTATCAGATGTTAAGGTTGAAAATTTAGTCAATGTAAAATTACATTCGCAGGTATTTAACAGTTTAACAAAATAACAGCAGTGTTAGCTGAATACAGGAAGAACGTCTTAGAACCAATGCAAGCTATTAAATAATGATAAATGTAAAGGTTTGTCAGTACTTGATATGCAGCCCTGTGTTACATCTGTTGTAAACACTCCTATTCCTGTAATGATTGCCAGATTGAACTTCATGTTGATCTTCTCTTTCTTCCAGCCGGATAATATCCTCTTTCCCCCCTCCGTGTCCTTCCGCAAGTTCAGCAACCCAGAGGTTTCTTCTCTTGGCTCCAGTTTAGCACTGAAATTCAAAAGACAACTCAGTGAAGATGGCAGACAGCACCGGAGGGGAAGTCTAGGGGGCGCTCTTACAGGTAACACCCTGCCTTTTGTAAGATCATATTGTGGGAATACTTTTTTTTTTTTTTTTTTTTTTCCTGGAAACCAAATGGTTGTACCAAGTAATCAGTGAGTACATTTACATGGACACCAATAATCAGATATTAATGTGATTTAAGACAGTACTCTGATTAAGAGTCCATCACATATAAGCAGTGTTTTTTTTATTTTTATTTTTTTACTTTAATTACCCTAATCTTACCTAAATTATAATCAAATTAGACAGAAATGGATAAAAGACATTTTGAAAAAATATAAATTAACAATTATTTTTGTGACTATACATACATGTACATTAACCTAATAAAATATAAGGAAATCATGGGAATCCCATCAAAAACAAAGCACAAAGCTGCTTGAAAACACCACAGCATTTCAATATTATGCTTTTTTTAAACTTAATTTCAATTAACACTTTGACATAATGTTTTATATTTTTTCCTACTGATGTAAATAGCTAATTTTGCCTCATCAAAAAAAAAAATAAAAAAAAAATAAAAAATAAATAAAACAATTAAGAAGTATACCTCATGCCGTGGCAATACTTAAAACCCTATATAAATGTCTTTACATTCAGTTTTCATCAAAAGCACAAAGGATCCAACTTAAAACGCTGTACAGAAAGGTGAAATATGTAAATCGCAAATGCTTGTAAAAAAAATTGTATTCCTATCAAATTTGTATTTTAAGTGTTTATTTGTTTAACTATTATTATTATTTTATTATTCGTTCATAAAAATGCTCCTAATATGCTATTAATATTTTAAATATATCTTTGCTATTTTTATCAATAAATCTTAAACATTTATTTATTCATTTTCTTTTCGGCTTAGTTCTTTTATTAATCAGGGGTCGCCACAGCGGAGTGAACCGACAACTTATCCAGCATATGTTTTACGCTTCGGATGCCCTTCCTGCTGCAACCCCCAACACTGGGAAACACCCAGACACACTCTTTTACACACATACACTATGACCAATTTAACTTACCCAGTTCACCTGTACCACTTGTCTTTGGACTTGTGGGAGAAACCGGAGGAAACCCACGCGAAATAGGGGAGAACATGCAAACTCCACACAAACATACCAAGTGAACCAGCCGAGGCTCGAACCAGCAACCTTCTTGCTGTGAGCTGATTGTGCTACCCACTGCGCCAACGTGACGCCCAATTTTTTATATATCTTTTAAAAATTATCATACACAATAGCTGCTGTTTTATTGGGGATTCAAGAACTCTGTTGTAATATTATTATTATTATTATAAATATTTTGTTTTTGTTTTGTTTTGGGGTTTTTTGCACTGAAAAGTCATAAAAATAGACACCTAGTGGGATGGTCAAATCCTACGACTGTTTCATTTTAGTTCATATTAAAGAACCAATAAATAAATTAATAAATAAATTTTGACAGAATGTGCTGCTGTTCAGTCGTATTGAAGAGACAGTATTTGTCTTTTTGTAATATACAATCAAAATATCTATTTTTGCTGCTTGTTTAAACTACTTATTTAAAATGAGCTGCAACAACACAATTACAGAAAATGTTCAATCCACTTAAATTCTGTTAACTTTCTGTTAAAGTGCTAATAATATTTTTATTTTTAAATAATAAATAATATTATAAAAACTATTCTTTTTTAAGTCAAAATATATATATTTTTTTTAAATATTGCTCTTTGTTCAGTTCAGGAATAATAATGTATATTAAAATGTGTTTTTGGTTGGCCAAATTAGTACTTTAAATGTAAATTGTTGTATAACTATAACATACTGTTTTCAGGACTTTTTTTTTTTTACCATTTTCAACATTTTACATTCTGTTGCATATGTTTTTTGCTTGCTGTTCCTTCTTATCTGGAGTGATGTATCAGATATATATCGTAGGGAACATGTAGAAATGTGCTGAGGGTGTCTACTTGGCATTTCCTTAGTTCTGTGGATGATGACTAGTGAGCAGGAATCACAATTTTCCTCCTACGTATCCTGTTTTTTGACCTGGTTCTTTGACCATGTAGAGCCCACAAACATAAATACAGGTTACCAATGGGTTGTCTGGGAAACTACCGTATAGGAGTATAGCCAAACTAAAAGTGTGTTTCTATGAGAAGAAAATATAAAAAGTTTCTATTTAAAAGGAAAAAAAAGAATAATTTCTCACCTTTTATCGACTAAACATTGCAAATTGCTTTGTCCTTTTCAGTCTTAGTCTATATGATTTTTTGTTGCATAATGATTCAGTTATGATTTATTGTCCGTTTACGGTATATTTGTAACTCACTTCAGTTGCTTTATTTGTTTGAGGTTTTGCTAGTTGCCAGGGAGACAATATTTATTTTACTGTAGTTAACATGAGAGGACACACAACTGCTCCGTAATATGTAAAGTACATAAGAAATCCAGAAAACACTTAAACATTTATAATAGATTTGAATGCATTTTGTATTTCTTGTAATCATCTCTTATATTGTTCTTTAATCAAATTAATTGAAAGGAACGCAGTGGTAAAGCTTTTGTCATGGCCTTACACAATCCCTGTTGTTTCATTAAGGATTCAAGAACTCCATTGAATTCTTTAGATATATATATATATATATATATATACAACCAACCACAACCATCTCTAGGGTTTACAGAGAATGGTCCGAAAAAGAGAAAATATCCAGCTCTATGGGCACAAATGCCTTGTTGATGCCAGAGGTCAGAGGAGAATGGTCAGACTGGTTCCAGCTGATAGTAAAGCAACAGTAACTCAAACAACTTCTCGTTAAAACCTAAATAAGCAGAAGTGGATCTCTGAATACACAACATGTCCAACCTTGAGGTGGAAGGGCTACAGCAGCAGAAGACCACATCGGATGCCACTGCTATCAGCTAAAAACAGGAAACTGAGGCTACAATTTGCATAGGCTCACCTAATTAAACAATAGAACATTAGAAATACAATGCATGGTCCGAGTCTTGATGCCTGCTGCAACATTTGGATGGTAGGGTCAGAATTTTGCATCAGCTACATGAAAGCATGTATGCATCCTGCTTTGTATCAATGGTTCAGGCTGGTGGTGGAGGTGTAATAATGTAAGGGATATTTTTTTGGCACACTTTGGGTTCATTAGTACCAATTGAGCATCAACGCCACAGTCTACCTGAGTATTGTTGCTGACCATATCCATCCCATCTTCTGATGGCTACTTCCAGCAGGATAATGCGCCATGTTATAAAATGCAAATCATCTCAGACTTGTTTCTAGAACATGACAGTGAGTTTACTGTACTCAAATGGCCTCCACAGTCACCATATCTCAATCCAATAGAGCACCTTTGGGAAGTGGTTAAACAGGAGATTCTCATCATGGATGTGCCGCTGACAAATCTGCAGCAACTGCATCATGTAAATATGAACCAAAATCCCAGTGGGAAATTTCCTGTACCATGTTGAATCTATGCCTGCAAGGATTAAGGCAGTTTTGAAGACAAAAGTGGGTTCAAACTCTGTACTAGTAAGGTATACCTAATAAAGTGACCGATGAGTGTATTCACAAAATAATATATATATATTTTTACTTGCAATTAAAGACTTCAGTATTATATTTGAAATTATATTTCTTTAGATAATGCAAGAGTGTATTTTCTTATGCTAATGACTTATGGCAGCTGTGACTTTGGCTAAGAAGTCACAGTATCCTTGCTGAGGATTGGTAATACATAACACATAATATTTGCTTCTCTCAGGAAAAAAAAAACCTCAATGCACCATGAAAACAATTTCTTAAATAGAAGATCACAACAGCGTAAATTTATCAAATGTAACTCTATGTAATTTTGGTCTAGCGGATTTAATTTAGTCTGACACAACCAACAAATTGCATTTGGTATGGCAGCTCAGTTTCATGAAGGAATTTAGATTATCAATCAACAATCCACGGGAGGCCCAGTAAAAGTGAAGAGGCCGTTTACATTTCCTCAGTGTACTGTGATAAAGCGTGAAGGACTTGGAAATAAACTAAATATTGGTGTAGAGGAGCTTTTCTCAGAACTTCACTTTTCTGGGTAATTTTTCTGTGACAGTGATTTTTAAGGTAGACATGTTAGTTTGCTACAATAAAAAAAAAAAAAAAAAAAAAAAAAAAAAAAAAAAAAACATTATCCACTCATATCCACATCTGACAACTTAAAAGGCTTAATGTTTTTTATGCTATCATTTGGATGTTGCAGGATATCTGCTTTTTGTTTGTAGGGACACAGTTTCTGCAGTTTATAGTGCATCGCAATGCAGAAGAGGACCAATCTTTATTGATTTAGTAACAGACCTTAAACAGTAGTGACATATTGACGTCATTTGACACCAGCATTATATGGCGTGGGAAATGAGATGCATGCAATATATAAGTAAAATACTATGGTGAAGAAGGTAACTGCAAGTAATGCAAGTAATTTAATATGCTTTAAAAAGACAATTTATTAATTGAATTTATTTAAATATAAAAATCATATGCTGTTTTCTCTGCACTCAGAAATCCTTCTCTCTGACTTCTTGGAAGTATTGACCTATTTTTTTTCCACAGCTTATAGCGCTTAAAAGGATGGTTTATCCGAAAATTGCTTCTATAAATATTCATTAAGGTGGATGTTACCCCAATTTGATGTGTATTTGACCATTTAAAGGCACAGTTGTTCAAAAAAATAAAACTTCTCTCATTTACTCACTCTTTACTTGCTTCAAACCTTTAAGTTCTTTTCTTCTGTTGACCACAAATCAAGATATTTTGAAGAAAGCTCAAGACCTGTAACCATTGACTTCAATAGTAGGAAAAACAGATACTATGGAAGTCAGTTGTTACAGGTTTTCAGCATTCTTCATAATATCTTCTTTTATGTTTAACAAGAAAGAAACTTTATAAAGGTTTGAAATGAGAAAAGGGTAAATGTGTATCAGACCAGTAAAGTGTAAGATGACCAAATTGTCATTTTTGAAATGACTATTCCTTTAATCAGTCAAATAAACATTAAATTGTATCAGTGGTCCAACTTGATGAGTATTTACAATATATAAATGCAATCAGATATACATAAACTGTTGAGAATGAAAACTTGAATTCACATCCATCCACACTTTTATTCTTGAAGTGAAAACCTGTCTATGAGTAATGTTAATCAAACATCCACTCCCTGCTCTTCACTGATCGCTTTTGTAGCTTAATCTCCCACCTAGACATGGGACTTTCAAGGACTACGATTTGGAAACGTCAAGGTTTTAATACAGCTAAAATGTTCTGTTATACTGTTCCCAAGGTATATGTAAGGAATTTTTAATGTATTTTTTAATGTGTTTTAAATAAATCTGTGTTTTTTTTAAGCTAATAAAGTTAGCAGAAGTCAATGATTTATTTTTACTTTTTAGCCTGATAAATTTTAGAGCAGTAATCACAATACCCTAAAACCGTGGTATTTTTATCGAAGGTGTTCATAAGTCAGAAACTTATAACGAACAATGCCTACTCCCTCCTACCCTCTACCTTCACAAAAAAATAATAATACAAAAATGTAATGAAATGGGAGCTTTATCCTTTGAGCCTTCTTTTTCTCGTTTATAGTTGTCATATTGGTTATATCAGACAGCATGTGTGTTATGACGTGTTCGTTATGATGCATCGTTGAATCATTGCATGTGAAATTGTGAGCCACTCCTAGAATGCTCTTTAGTCTTGCTTGAACAGATTAGATCATTAGTTAAGGCATTATCTTCCAAGAACATGTTTTGTCAAATACGCTATGCTCTGCTTTTAATCAGACATTTTTTTTCTTTTCTTTTTTTTTTTTTTTTTAGGGAAATACCTGTTGCCATATGCCCAGCAGTCATGGTCAGCCTCAAGCTCGGAGACCACCAACCTTGTGCGCATGCGCTCGCAGACCTTGGGAAAATCTGCACCTTCTCTCACAGCCAGCCTGGTCAGTAGAGTTTAACCTGGAAAAAAAAACAAAAAAAAAAAACAGTTTAACATCATATCAAGTGGTAAATTCTCCTCTCAAACACTAGGTAGCACTGCTGTATCACAGGCACATAAAGCATTTCTTTTATAAGGAGCACTTTCATTTCTATACAATAGACATACAATAAGTTAGCTTTTCAGCAGTTTTCATTTATTTGGAAATATTTTCTGTCTTTTAAGCATAAAGTGTGCGTTTAAATGAGAAAGAAATTCCTATGGGCTAATAAGAATAATTAACTTGTTCAAAGAAACTGTGGGAAAGGAACAATACAAATGTGTATTTACTTATATTAATTTATTAGATACCTGGGTATCCGCAGGGTCTTAAAGTCTTAAAATGTCTTAAATTTTAAATGCAAAATTTTCGGCCTTAAAAATTCTTAAATTCATTGAAATATTGTGTTGTAGGTCTTAAATCATTTTAAACAGGTCTAAATCTTTCTATGTCCATGTAAAGCTACCCAATTGGGCCAACACCTATCCAATCACAAACATTTCATCTCAATAAAAATTTTAACAAAAGTTTGTTTACTAACTGTATTTACCATCATGGATTGATTATCTTCCTTACAATAACATTTGCTTTAATATTTTAACTGGGCCATTAGAACAAATCATTTGTGTTTAACCTTGTGTAAGTCTGAAATTTCAATCTTAAAGATCTTAAAAAGGTCTTAAAAAGTCTTACATTTGACATGATGAACGCTGTAGAAACCCTGGATGCTGTCATCCCATCTTTTTACAAATGAGGGTTAATACTGTTACAAGCTATCCGTTTATTGAAATCGAGTAATCTCGTAAAACAACAGTTCAGCGATATATTCTTCCAATTTATTAATTTGAACCAAGATCATCAGAATTAAATTTAACACTTTAATTTTGGTTTGTGCTGAGCTGGATGCGGTGAAAAATATGTCCGGAGAAACTGCCATGTCGTATTTGCTTTTCCTGCAAACAGCCGTGGCAAACAGTGGTCCGGGATCCATGTTGGGAAACTGATTGAAATTAATGACCACAGAGAACAGGGTCAATGCTGCAACAAACTGAATGTCATTTACTTAGCAACTGTATCCGATCTGCTTTCACAAGGGGGGCTCCTGAGTCTCTCTTGCTCTCCCCTGTTAAAATAAGCAGCCTATGACCAGTTGATCTAACCATTTAAAAAAATGAACTAAATTAATGTTGGTTTTCAAGGAGCAGGTACTGTATGCTGCGTAGGGGATGGGGATTTAAGAACCAAATAAACCAAAACATCATTAACAGTGTATGAAAAGTATTCAGACCCGCTTATTTTTTTTACTTGTTATATTGCAACCCTTTCCTCATTTCATGTACACACAGCACCCCATATTGACAGAAAAGCACAGAATTGTTGACATTTCTGCAGATTTATTAAAAAGAAAAACTGAAATATAACATGGTCTTCATAATTATTTGGACCCTTTGCTGTGACACATTTATTTAACTCTGTCCATTTCTTCTGAACATCTTTGAGATGGTTCTACACCTTCATTTTATTCCAGCTGTGTTTAATTATACTGATTGAACTTGATAAGAAAAGCTACGCACCTGTCTGTATAAGACCTTACCTGTTCAATACAGTCCCAACAGTGAAGTGTGGTGGCAGCATCATGCTGTGGTAGTGTTTTCTCCAAAGTGCTCAGGACCTCAGACTGGGCTGAAGGTTTACCAAAGTCTATAGAATACACAAGACATGTCACTCGTATCTTTTTGTATAGGGAAAAGTGTAATGGTAACTATGGTGAATAAGGCCCTCCCACTAGTACAGGAGCCAATCATTGATCGCTATATGGCAAATAAAGCCCACCTTTTAGTACAGGAGCCAATCACCGATTGCTGTAGACTGACGATACTCCAGGGGAGGGACTTGGACCAAACGTGAGTTTCTGCACATTTTGTGTGATTTTTAAATGTTTAGAAATGAAACTAAAGACACAGTTGTTGTTTTATTTTATTGGTGATTTCTAACATGAAATTTAATCCTAAGCTTGGCAAGTAGTTTTGGAAAATTTGATGTTTTCCCATTCAGATAGAATGCCCAAGTACAGTACACTGCCCGAGAGACATTTCAACGATGAGCACTGAGTGAAATGACTTGCCTTAAAGAGACATTGGGTTTACCTACCAAAAAAACAATAGCTGCTTTCAAATGGCACACTATACACTTTGCATTTATGCACTATGTACTGATGCACTTACACACTTATTTTTTTTACTAAGCAAAAATTCAAACCATTTCCTCATGACATTTGACTGTTGCCAAATCAGTGAAATAAATGACTAAACTACCTGCAATGAGTAAAACCGCATTCACCATTGAGAGGTGCTACAGTATAATCACTCTCGTAGGATAATTTTGCTTTCACCATCCAAAATAAATAAAGTTATCCAACGTAGTATCCAATTATTCCAACAAAATCTGCAATTATCACACCTAATAAGCCAGTAAAGAAAAAGTGATCTGAGTTATTTTGTGGTTGAGATGCCAAAAATGTCAACTATATTTACCTCTGCATGTAATTACCGATTTCTATGTTGTTTTAAATATCGAATTAAAAACAAATGTTTTATTAAGGAATGCAAACTGAACCATTATGAATTGAAAAATATCAACAAATAACAATATACAGTAGCTGCAAAAAGTTTCAAGCAAATCTTTCAAGCAAAATTAACTAATAATTTTTTTTTCAATATATAAAACAATACAAAGTGCTAGCAAACACAATATATGTGAGATGCAATGGGGAAAAAGCATCAGAATTTATTTTATGTATGCGTGTACTCATACAAGCTGTATAGCTTTTTCAGAAAGAGTTATTTTGGGAATTTTATGTTTGTTATAATTTCAGCTGCTCTGATTTATCAGAATGTTTACATAACCCTGTTTATAGATCAGCCTCCTTGAAGAAAAAAAAAATATGTATAAATAAATAATTAAAATAAATGAATAAATAAATAAATAAATACATAAATAAATAAACAAATAAACAAATAAATAAAAATTATCAATTTAAGGGGCAAATAACACACACACACACACACACACACACACACACACACACACACACACACACAGACACACTACAGCCATTTCCTGTGCTATCTTTTTGGATGTTTTCCCTCCTACTAAACACAAAGGAAAGGAGTATGTCTTGGGAATGTTAACACTGTTTAGTGAAAATGAGTGCCTGTGGAGTAGGCCGACAGTTCATATGTGACCTTGGAAAGATATTCCTCACACACAGAGGGAGCTTATCTGTTTCTTCTTTGTAAACCACATGTGGAGAGTATATGGGTTTTTGCTTTGGTCTGGTTGGATATTCAGGAACCTTTTAAACTCTATGCATCATTGGAGACTAGATAGTTGGGATTAGATAAAATGGATTTGTTAACTTACGGCATTCTCCATCAAGGGATTTTGTGTTTACAATGCTTCTATGACACTTTTATTTCTTTGTTTTCTTAGTCCTTTTCACAAATCAAAAGTATCTGTTTGTCTGATGAATTAATAAATAAATAAAAAATAAATAATAATATTAGTAAAAAAATAAAGAAATAAATAATTTCACTTATGTTCTCAAACTCTCTTTCCAAATGTACAAAGAATTATACTGTATAAATGACTACAGTTTCAAGCATTTAAAATACACAAAAACATAAAATATTACTTATTTATTTATTTATTAATGCATACAACTGTGAGTAAAAGAAACAAACTGAAGCCTTTCTTCAGTGACCTTTATTTGATACTTTTAGTAGAAATCATCCTCATGTATTCAAAATCTTCTGCTTCAATTTTAAGAAGTTTTTATATATACAAGCCCGGAACTTGTGTACTCTCTGCTTGGTCAGTGTACAAGTCGTACATGTACGGCCAAATTTTGGTCCTCTCATTTATGTTGCTTCCCTCTGTCTGCCTGTCTGTTGCCAAACACAGAGCAGGGGAACTCTTGGCTCTGCCCCTTTGTTACGTTGGGTGGGAATTTGAAACAAATTTTCATGTAAAGCAACACACCCCTAAAACAGCGAGCTGTGTACACGTCCCCAAAGTGACTTGTACACTTTTGAACACATTATAATAAAAAAAAATCTGAACTGTGTTTTGAGCTAAACCTAAACTGGCACACTCAAAAGAACCATAATATTAATATTAAATCCTAAAAAAGGGGCAAACCATGTGCCCTTTAATCTTCAACTGCTTACCTGAATGGGGATGACTAAAAAAACTGACATTTAGTTTTAGTAAAGTTAGACTCATTGACCACTTCTATAATTATCTTCAGGGACTGAGAAAGGATTAGCAGAACGTTCATAACCTTGATCCGCTCTCATTAACATTTGTTGCAAGTTTGGGCTCATTTAAAAAATTTGTGGTGGATCTTTACACAGTGTCTCAAAACAGGATCTGAATTTAAAATATGCCAGTGTCTTCATAGTATCTTTGCAAACTCATTACTTAAATCGAAAGTTAAACTTATTGAATTCTAAATGTTGCAAAAAATCCATGTATTTGATGGTTTTGGGTAATTTTCAAAAATCAAGTAAGATATGTGTGTGTGTATATATATATATATATATATATATATATATATATATATATATATATATATATATATATATATATATATATATATATATATATATATTATGCGTGTATATATTAAATCACTATCTGCCTGAAATACAAACGCTGATGCACCAACATCTCACCTTCCAACTAATATGTTTAAATGTGTTCAAGCTGCCTGTTTGACAACCATTTTTTTCCTCTCAGTTTTTATACTAGAGGTTTTGTGCTCCATAAATCAAATCGTCCCAGTGGACCTTGCTCCGTCATTTCTGAAGCTGCATGAATTATGCAATTTATTAGAAAGATTTTGAATCGACTCTTTGCTCTATTGGCAGGTCTGCTCTGGGCAATTGTGGTTTTTATTAGTATCCAGCAGTAGTCACACAGGGTGGAATACAAATGATCACTACAAAGGGATTATTTATTCATTATGACACTGCAGGAGTCGCTGGAGTTAAAGTTCTCCCAGAGGATATTTTTATCAGTTCCCATTAGTCCTTTTTGAACTATAAATTGATGCATAGTTATAAGCATATTCAACTATCTCTATATTCAACACAAATGCCAGCAAAAGTTTCAGTCAAAGTAGCATGGTGATTAGAGTTAAGTAAATTGTTCTTTATATAATCTAATGCTAAATTAAAATACTGTATAATCTCCTTCAAAATTCCATGGTTTTATTGTAGTACTTTAATAAAAACTAGTTATACACCGGTAATACAATTCTGGTTGTGACTAAGTAAATAGTTATTCTTACGCATTATTCCCAAAAGCTTTGGGACACCAACTTTTAGTGGTATTATAACAAAGTGAAAGCAATTGGGAACAACAGCAACTCCGCCACAACCTCAGAGTGGTCTTTACCTGCTGAACTGTTTTAATTGTAAATAGCTACTAGGGGTGTTTAATTTATGTACCCCAATCATGTTGGGGCTGCAGGTGGGAGAGATCAGAGGCTGATGTACAGGCTGGCCCTTCAGGATGAATCCTAAGACTTGTCTGTCAGTGGGGTCTTACAGGAATCAGTCTCATGCTTTCCACTCCTCCATGACCACCATAGTATCTGTTCAGGATATGGCCCGGTCCAGGATTATAGAATCCTAGGGAATAATAAAAAGGACTCTTACTAGGTATAATTGAAGCACCCAAGCAGGTGTGTTGAGGCAAGTTAGAGCTAGTGTCCTGCAGGGCACCTTCAGGAACGAGATTGGTGACCCCTGCTTTAGAGGATTTGGATTTCAAAAGCATTTGTGTTTTATGTGTACGCTAATGCAAAGAGATGTGTCTTTAATCTAGTCTTAAACTGACAGAGTGTGTCGGCTTCCTGAACTGTGCTAGAACGGCTGTTCCAGACTTTAGTTCCAGAAATAAAAAAAAGATATACCGTCTACAGTTGATTTAGATATTCTGGGAATAATCAATTGTCTAGAATTAATTGAGCGTAGAGGACTAGATAGGCTATAATTCACCAGGAGCTCCCTCAAATACTGGGGATCTAAACCATTCAGGGCTTTGTTGGTGGTCAATACCATTTAAAAATATATTTTTACGATATTTAATAGGGAGCCAATGTAATGATGAAAGAACTGGAGTAATATGATCATATTTCTTTGTTCTAGAAAGCACTCTAGCGGCTGCATTTTGAACTTGCTGAAGTTTGTTAATTAGAGTTTTGGTAATTATTTTGTATAGTCTGATCAGTTGGTCCAGTCACAGGAGTTAGGCAGAATAAGACTACTGATTGTGTCTTTTCAGTTTAAAATGTGATATGCAGTGCTCAGGAATGTTTCTTTAAGCACCCTCTCCACCATGTTGCAGCTGTATACTGAAATTTGCAACACTTGCTTGACCATCGGATTTCTGTTCCTTCTTATTAGTGTTCCACTTTGAAACGGACATTGATGAGTGGAGCAGCATGTGAAAGTTTCAATACTTTAACTTGACACAACAACAACTCTAATCTTCAGCTTTAGATGTTTATTTAAGTATTTATTAAAAGTGCATGAGCCACCATGCTACACTGGCTATGTTTCCATTCACTTTTTTTTAAGTGCATTTTGGATATGTGCATAACAAATGGTTGATGGAAACACCAAGATTTGCATACATTTTGAAAA